CTTTGTCTTAGGGATTTGTTAAGTGAAACACCAGGACACAGCTGTGGATGGACAGTGCACCTGTGACAGCAGACATCGGGTGAAGGCTCCTCAGGGGACAGGCTGGTGACCAGAGAAGCAAACAGAGGGGGAGGGAGGGGTACAAGAGGGTCCTGCAAACTCTCCTGGGGAAGCACCAGCCCTCTTCTCCAGGAGCTCCAGTGCTGGAGCTGCTGCAAACAGATTCAGCCTCTTTCTGTTTGTAAAAATTACGGACAACAGTGTTCTCTTCTGGAAACAATTCATACTGCTACAGCTGGACAACAAACAACAGAGAATTCTGGAGGTACACAGGGCAATTTCTTTAAACTCACTATTAATATCCTGTAGCCCCAGTATTAAATTGTAGCTGAAGTCTCCTGTAAGGGCGAATAAATATTTTTCTTTAAATTTAATAATCAATGATCTGCTTAGAAGGCTTCAGTTAGCAGACAGGAACTGTTCATCACACAAAATCTACTGGATCTGGGCAGATTTTGGTTTTTGTTTTTTTTTTTGTTTTGTTTTGTTTTTTTGTTTGTTTTTTTTTTTTTTCCCTAGAAAAGAAACTGAATTTAAAAAAATAGCAGCCTAGAAGTCCTATTACTCTGAATTGACACTCAGGGTTTGATCCAATCTTTGCTTACTAGGATTTCTCTGCGGTTGATATGGTGATATAACATTAGGAAATTCCTTAAGATCTGGCAAAGCACAAAGCAGTGGCTCTCCTGAAAACAGGCACTCATCATTACGCTGATTTATACAAACTGAAACCCTGGGTGTTGCTGGCTGGGGATGTTCCAGCAACAGAGATCCGGGACAGATGTCCACTGTCCTGGGATCTGTGCAATCGCTCGCCCCAGTCAGCGCAGACATAAAACAAGAACAGCTCTGAGTGGAACAAGGCCCTTGGTGTGTGCTTGGGCCAGGTCAGAGTCCCAGTTGTGACTCACCTGTCAGCCACCAGCAGCAGGGTGAATGTGCCTGCCCAGCCCAGCAGAGACTCCTGCTGTGCCACAGGACATGGCAAGTCCATGAGATCAGCAAGTGCTGGGAACTGCCGCTCCTCCAGCACCATTCTGCCACAGCTTCTGCAGGCACAGACATGAAATGGTGAGCCTGCATGGAATTCACTGACCTTCCAAAGCAGAGAGGAGTCTGGTTATGGGTTACTATTTATTAAGTAATTCTTAGCTATTTTTAAGCCTTGACTATTCCAAAGCTGACCCACAGGTGCAAGTCCAGCTCCTACTAGGAGCACTCCAAGGTAAAACCCTGCCTGAATAAATGGCACCTTATTTTAGCCAGACTGTTTTCCAGTGGGGGAAAAGAATTCTTTTTCAGCTGATCCTTTCTTGGTTTAAAATAATATTTATTCACAATACTTATTCCTTTAATAATTTTTTCTTTTTCTTTTTTTTTTTTTTTTTTCAAAAAGAGGTAATTTTCTCTGTATGAAGCTTTTCTGTATTCTTTGTCCTTTGGGAGACAAAATAATTTGAAAGACTTGGCAGAATTAGTAATATTATTCAACTTGTAATTGTCTAACATCTTAGTGTTCTAGATGGAAAATCAATACATTATGATGTACCCTAAGCTAAATTAGTATAATGTTAACATGGTGGTTTGAAACTGTTTGAAATCCTGCATCTCTACATCTAGTGATTCAGAAGCTTGCAGCAGAGGGTGGTTGGGTGCTCTGTCTCCCTGGATAAATCTGTCTCTTCCTGGCTCTTTGCTGTTTTCACTCTGTCAGGCAGGGAAAAACTTCTGCTGGGACTCATTTTCCTTCAGTAGGCCAGAGCTTTTCAAAGAATTCTGAAGGAGACGAGAAAACACCATGCATTGATTAACAGACCACATTTACAATTTAGAGAACTAAAACAACCACCTAATATGCTTTAAGATATCTGCTACATATGTAAACTTTTAACAGTTACCTGCAACTTCCTTTATTAATTCTCAGGGGGAAAAAGGCTTCTTTTTTCTGGACTACTCTGCTGACACCTAGTGAGCCTCAGCGCCAACAGTTTCAGGAAAAGAAAGGTAATATCAGAGCAGCTGTTCTTTTCACTTCACTCGCAGTAAAATCTTTTATATGGCCATGTCTGTGATTCAGCAGAGTGCTGAATCATATATCAACTCAGAGAACATTGTAACACCAATGAGAGGAAAATGTAGAAAGATGGTTAAGAGGACAAAGGGGAAAGAAGCATAAAGAAAAGAAGTGCTAGGTGAAGTCTTTCCCTCACAGGATAAACATTTTTAACAAGGGTGAATAAAATTTTTCCACTGGTTGTGACTTCCATCTTTTGCATTCTCTGTTTCACATAATTTACTGGGATATCTCAGTGTCTGTAACATCTAGGTAATGACTACTGTGTTGTTTGATTTAATATAAAACATAAATTACAAGCAACTCCTTATTATTGCCTTAAAATTAATTGCAGTATAATCCTACCATTACAATAGTATAAACGTGACATTTTATTCTTGGATTTGTTTGGGAGAGTGGCAATTTCACCTGAGATACTGAGCTTCACTAAAGTGGCTTAATAGTGCCTGGGAAACAGGCATCAGTAAAATGAGATGGTATTTTTTGATGCCAAGGAATTTGGCAAGTAACAATGGACACAAAAGCAATTTTAAAATAAAAATCAAACTTCCTCTTTTCAAAAGAAATTGAAAAAAAATGAATGTAAGGGCTGGTCTCTGATGACAAAGATGAATAAGATCACATTTTACTTCCCTGAAAAATGGCTTCAAGAGGTCACAGTCATTGCTCCTGCATAAAAAATGTGAGAACACATACTGCCACCAACTGTCATTAGGTTGGTCTCTTGAGAGCTGCTGGTCAGGAACTTTTAGGTTTCTCTAAGAGAATTTCCTGTCTTTCTGAAATGGTTTATCTAACGAAAATCTTACAAAATGCAGAGGCGCTTGGGTGCTTAAAAACACCTAAACAGAGAGATTTAGGCTTCTCCAAGTTTGCAGTGTAACAAATCTAGGGTAACTTCACTTCAGTAATATAAAAGAAGACACTAAAACAAGCACTGTGTAGTTCTTTGCATCATAAACACAACCAAGATACTAAAGATTGCATAAGCTGAAAAAGACCACAAAACAAGAGAGAATATAGAATTCTGTTAATGAAAGAAATTAGTTAGTGCCCGCTTGAGTGTACTTTTCTTACAATTCTGCTCATGACAATGACTGGGCATCACCTCTCAGACACTGCTCAAGCTCTGCTGCACTGTGGTACCAAAAGTCACTGCAACTTTCCTTCCTCTTCAGCCTATTTTCTTGGCTTACACCCTTCAGTCAGTCAGAACTTAATCCTGCATTTAAATGGGAAGCTCAGTCATTTCTTTTCTTTTTCCACAGCATAAAAATAAAAATTAATACTTCCAGATAGGCCAGAGGACATCTCACTGCACAATGCTCTGCAATCATCATCTTAACTCTCACATTGTAGGTGCTGAATCTCTTGAGACTAAAAGCTAATTATGTCCAAAATATTTATATGTCTACAATTTTTATTTTATGCATGTAAGATTACAAGTCATCAAGGGAAGATAAAATTGTTCATATGAAACATCAGAAGTTTATATATTTTTGCCTTGCAACTTTGTTAGGACTAGTGCACTTAAGCATTCAGACACAGGCCTTAATCAAAGCCTCAGTCTTTAAGAAGCTTTCTGATAACTGCAATTAACTGTCTATCCATGTAAGAGACATTTTATTATATAATTACATGTAAGTGTGATTAACTGAACTTTTTGATATATAGGTCAGAGACTGCCACTCAATGCATTTTATCTCTATAAGAAATTTCAGACACAAAGTATTACACAACTTAATAAAACCTTTATTTTAACAATCTTAAATGTTTTCTTTTTTCTGCTGTTAAAGTTCAAATAAATTCTCTGTCATCAAAAAGTAAATTAAAATTTTAATCTTGTAAAAATAAAATTCTTATTACTAAAATGCTTTTACCCTCATACTTATACTCATTTAGTATTTTTCATAACTTATTTGATTTGGCCTGAGACGCTAAAGATTAATGTTACTAGTTAATGAAAAAGTGAATAATTTACTATGTCTTTTGCTAGACCTGTAGTAATTATCATTGATATATCCAAAATTAGTACTTCTACATTTATAATTTACAAAAATTATATTGGAATTTCAATATTAAAAAAAAAAAAAAAACAGAGAGCACGGACGTCTGACAGCAGTTTGAAGCTTGCCTAGGAAAGAGCAGTGTTTTTGGAGTGTTCAGCAGATCCATGTTTCTGGGCAAGGGCGGCATGCGTGCACTGTGCTGGCAAGCTTTCTCCCTGCGAGACACTCTGGAAAAGCTTTTCGCCATGATGCAATCCGCTAGAGACGCAGACTCCGGCTCTCCGCAGCTGTCCGCAGGGAAGCGGCGGTTGCCGGCTTCTTTCTGCCGAAGCCGCGCTTTGCAGCCTACAAGTGCGGTTCACGTCAGCGGTGCACCCAGTAGCCGCTTCTTCGCCTCCGGCAACCGGGGAGAGCGGTTGGCTTCTGAGAGGCGAAGAACGAAACCGGCTTGTGTGCGCAGCCTTGGCACTGCTAGAGGACGGTGGCTGCAGCTTCCAGCCCTTTCAGTTCACCGCTGGCATGCATCTGGCAGGTGCTCCAGGACGACTTTCCTGCGTTTTGACTTGGTTCTTGACAGACGAATCTGGAGAATTCTTGTTCGTGCCCTGAGCTTCCGAGATGCAGAGAACTCGATGGCAGCTGCAGAAAAGAAGGGCTGCGCTGAGTTGCTCGGGAAGCAAGGACATAGACAGCGCCTTGTGTTTGGGAGTGAGCAGCTGCTGGTTTTTTGCAATTGCCTTCACTGTGCACTGAATGCCAGGGTGAGCTGTGCACTCTTCTACAACGAGCAGTGCAGCAGAAAACAGAGAGCACGGACATCTGACAGCAGTTTGAAGCTTGCCTATGAGACAGCAGTGTTTTTGGAGTGTTCAGCAAATCCATGTTTCTGGGAGAGAGCGGGGTGCGTGCACTGTGCTGGCAAGCTTTCTCCCTGCAAGATACACTGGAGAAGCTTTTCTCTATGATGCAGTCCGCTAGAGAAGCCGGCTCCGGGTCTCTGGTGCTGTCCGGAGGGAAGCGCCAGTTCCCGGCGTCTTTCGGCTGAAGCAGGCGGCTCGCTGCGTGCGGCTGCCGCTCACCGATATGTGTGCCAAGTATCCGCTTCTTCGCCTCTGGGAGCTGGAGAGAGTGGTAGCTTGTATGAGGTGAAGAACGAATCTGCACAGAACCGGGCTTCTGCCCACACTCTCCTGGTTTAGGGCAAATTTGGGGGAAAACCCACAGGATGAGCGCCCCCCTCCCCGCCCCCCCCGCGACAGCAAACCCCCACAACCCCTCCCCCCGACCTGTTTCGGGAAGAATTTCCTTGAAGAGAAGTGGAAAACAAAAATCCTGTTTTTTAACAGACAGAAACAGTCCCCAGCATCAGAAATTAACAACATCAGAGTACAAAAACCCTTTCACCGCTTTGAAGAGATGACAAATTCAGAAAACCTCTCATGGGAGTAGTCGCCCAGTTCTCGGTCTCTGACACTGGGGATGGCTGCTGCAGGTCACAAAATGCAGGCAGGTGTCTCTCGGTGCTTCCCAGGTCCCAGCCCGGGAAGGTTTGAATGGTATTCATGAAAAGGAAAGGAAAAAGAGCAAGGGCAAAAGCAGGGGAGAGAGCAAAGAGCCAGCAAGCAAGCAAGCCCTGCCGGCTGCTAAGACAAAACAAACCTTCACTTTTCAGTGCCAGTCCGGAAGGCACAGAACAAAGCATCAAACATAAACAGAACACACGATTTGGGATACAAGCACCATAATGTCACCCTGGGACATTCCACCCCTTATTTCCATATCGTCAACATACTACCAAATATCATGCATTTATTCACATCAAAACTTCCATCTTTTACTTCCTCGAACACATTTCCTTCTGTGAAAAATGCCAATCACTTGGTTTTCGAAATTTTAAAAGTTTAATAATAATGAAATGGTTATAAAAATAGTGATACAATTAGAGTAACAAAATTTAGAGTTAGGACAATTACAAGACAATAAAAAGCAAAGAATTACAGCCATCCGGGTGCTCTCGGACACTAAGTCATGAAAAGCATACCTTGTGAACAAAGCAATAACCTTAAAAGCGATAGCCTGTTGCATAACCATATATCTCGTACAGGATACATAATTCCCTGCAAATTAAGAACTTTTCTGTTTTTTGTCAACGTCTTCCTCTTAATCCTCGTGGTGCCATAAAGACGGAGAGAAGGTGGAAGACTGTTTGTCTTTTCTGATAAGGAGGCAGTAACTCTTTATGGGCCCCAAGTCACTGTCATCTCTGTGTGAAGAGTTTCTTGATTATCTCACCTCTTGCTTGAGCTAGTAAAAAAATACTACATCACAGATTTCTATTTCAATATTATGTTGTAACCTAAAACTATATTTAACACACTACTTAAGAGAATTAATTAACACAGCATAACTTTCTAACATTACACATATTATATTCGTTGTAACATTTGCAATAAGCCAGTCATGAAATATGCATTTTTCACACTTCCATCTCACTTGCTCAAACCTTCGACACACATTTCCTTCTGTCTCATGTCTGTGTTTTCATGTACAGACAATGGCAGCAACATCCAGCAAACAGTGATATTTGCACATGAGTCTCACCCCACAATCAGATCTCCCTGAGGTACACATTGTGTTGTTTCATCTCTGCTTTATCCACCATCTACAAGCTGGTGGTCCCTGAGCAAAGACAATCCCATGAATGGGTTTGTCTGTAGCTGAGGCAGAATTGATTCACACTGCCTTCCCTAACAAACCTCTGACATGTGCCACTGGGACTTTCTCTCCGTCTACTATATTCAAGGAATCAGACTGGCCAGGACCTGCTCAACTGGTGGAACCTTGGCTGTTAAATAAGCAGGTGGCTTTTGCCAGATGCTGCACCCAAGTTTTGAAAGATCCCCCAGCCAATCCTTCAAGGTGGTTTTTAGCAGTCCATTGTACCTCTCCACTTTGCCTGCAGCTGGTGCATGGTAGGGGATATGGTACACCCACTCAACACCATGTTCCCTAGCCCAGGTGTTGATAAGGCTGTTCTTGACATGAGTCCCATGGTCTGACTCAATCCTCTCAGGGCTACCATGCCTCCAAAGGACCTGCTTTTCAAGGCCCAGGATGGTGTTACAGGCTGTAGCATGAGACACAGGGTAGGTTTCCAACCATCCAGTGGTAGTTTCTACCATTGTGAGCACGTAGCATGTTTGGGGCAGCATGATGTAGTCAATCTGCCTCGCCATGCGGACCTCGTGACACGCCCCGCGCATGCGCAGTTCGCGCTACACCCGGACCAGCGTCTCCACGCCGCCCCTGCCGCGCCCCCGATGCAGCCTCCCGCTTCCCACGCGCCCCATGCCGCGGTCTACGTCCAGCCAACGTCCCCGCGCCCCCGACGGCAGTGCCACAGCCCTTGGTTCTGACTGCGGAGCCCCAGCCACCGCCGCCAGCACTTCTGGGTTTCTCAACTCTAGCACCATATCCATCTGCACGGCCGGATCCTGTTACAGCCTCATCACAAATAGTCCTCCCTACACCGCCTCCTTCGCAGCTTCTGGAAACCCCAGCCTTACAGCTACCAGCAGCTCCCGCACGACCGCAGCCTCCACCCACACTCCACCCTCCAATGAGTCTGCCTGCAGCACCACAACACGATTCTGCAGCATCCTATGCATATCCCTCCGTGCCCCTTCCTCCGCCGGATCTACATTTGACACCTACAGGCAAAGCTCCAGGATATCCTTCCGCACATGCAGGTTCTTCCCAGGCACCTCTGCTGACAGGTTCCACTCCTCCTGCTCCTCTGCCTCAGCTACCAGCAGTTCCTGCACCCGGTCCAAGCAGTACCTCACCACAGCTTGGCACAGGAACCATGCAGCGAGAGGGAGAAGGAGGGAATGTGGCAGCCGCTTTGACAAATAAAGGACAGACAGAGAACTGTTTTGCCCTTGCAAATCCTAACCCTCTTATCCCGATTTTACAAAATTTCCAGAAAGGTGTTGATAATCTCCAACTGACAGACTGGCATGGAATCAGATGTGATAGTCACAAAGAGGACAGTCTGAATCCCCGAACCATGCCTGTGGTATCCAGCCAGCAACCTGCTGGTCCCAGAATATGGACAGTTATCCCTTCCCAGGACTTGAAAGAATTGCGAAAAGCAATAAATGACGGTGGTATCTCCTCTTCCTATTTTAAACAGCTGTTAAAAAGTACCATAGAAAGAACACACCAAACCCTAAAACGTATTTTAAATCAACAGAAAGGGGGAGTAGATCAGGCTGCACCTCAAAGGTGGTTGAGTAAGGCTCTGTATGTTTACAATTTTTTAAATAGCTCTGCAGGACAGCCTGACCCCCCCACTTTACAGATATTTTCTGAACAACAAAAAAGCAAAAGTAAAGGGGCACCCCCCAGTTTTAATCAAAACCTTATATACAGGACAAATAGAAGGACCATACAAGTTTATAACATGGGGGTGAGGTTTTGCTTGTGCTTTCACAGGTGAAGGACCCAAATGGGTCCCAGCAAAGAATGTAAAGCCCGCTGGCACCCCCGCATCAGGCAGTACTTCTGCAAGTACAAGTCGAGAAGCAAGCACCCAGACCTGAACTTCGTAGAGTCATCAAGAGAAAATGACCTGCCAGAAACAGCTTGAGAAAAGAATGGAGTTTTGTCATTTGCATTCGTGCATGTTGCTTTTGTTCTTTTGTTTTAGTTTTTGTATTGATGTTTTACCTGTAAGTCAACCAAAGACAAATGCCTGGGTTGCTTTAGCCAAGTCTGCAGGCTCTGATACCATCTGTCTATCTGACACAAGCCCTAACAAACCTTTTTCAACCTGTTTAATTAGAGGAACTTTTCCAGAAAGTTTTGATAATGCTACCTCAGTTAAGTTCTTCCATTACCCTAAAGCAGTCAAACAAGTTAAGATATTGGCTCAGTGTGAGAACCCCGGGATTGATTTGGGGCTCTCGTGTGGTGGTAAAGTCTCTCCTCCAACCCGTGCTTCCAAAGAAAAACTCCACAGCCTCTTGTTGTCCGGTCTCAAGGTAGTTTATTGCTAGCTATCTAAAAGATTGTCCTGCGCTGCGGCTGCTTTGGTCTGCGGCCCAGGCAGAGGTACACACTCTCCTGACACCCTCACTGTCCGGTGTCTTCGTCGTCTCTCTCCCCGCCCAAAGCTGCTACTATCTTTTATATGATATATTACGTACTATATGTTTATAGATTTTCCCCAATACCTACTATCTACGTTATAATGTGCTTTTCTACTCTAAACCAATCTGTGAATGCCAACATCACCAAGAACATGGAGGTAAGGAAGAAGAAGGAGGAAGAATAAGATAAGGACCACTTTCCTCCATCTTAGAACTCCTGACCCCCCTGTACAAAGTGAAAACCCCCCTGTACAGGTACTAAAACCCCCCTGTACAACACTAAAAAATTTTACCCTCTAATTTGTGACTACTTTTACTATACCATCTAACATTCTGTGACTGCTTGTTCCACCCTCAAAGTTGGTAATTCATTCCATGGTTCAAACTCAAAATCACAGCTGTTTTCAGCTGCTTGCCAGGGTCTAAAATGCTTCTGACCAAGGCCTGGAACCTCTAAAAATGTCTGAGGGACATTTTGGGTTCTGACAGCTCAGTAAAGAGGTAAGTGCCAACTGTACTATAATCAGTGATTTAATAACAGATGATCCATCTTAGCTGAACAGTTTATTTGATGGTTTGAGCTTTGCACCTTAGCTAAAGGAACTCTGTAAAGTAAGCTTAATTGTTCCAATGGTAATAAGTGTAGTTTTAGTAGCAATACCCTGTATACCTCCGAGTGTGCAGAAAATAGTGGTTAAGTCAATATTTAGTATCTGAAGTTGTTCAATGGAACGTGTGAGATGTTGGGAAGGATGGATAAATATAATTGCCTGGCAAAAGATTTACAATAGTACAGCCAGGATGAAAACAATCCCCCTACTGGCTGGACCATACCCTTACCTACAGATAGGTCCAAAAGTCAAATGGACTGTTACATCTCAACCCCCCAAAATGTATGGTTCATCCCACACCTGTAACCCTCCCCTGAAACATCAAGTGTCTGTAACCCCATTGGTGCAAGTCTTGTTCCAGCCCACCTTGAAGCCCCCTGATAAGGGGTCTCCGAGGAGCCAGACGCTCTCTTAGATCTTCCCCTCTCTTAGATCTTCCCCTCTCTCAGATCCTCCCCTCTCTTAGATCTTTCCCCCTGTTGGATCCTCCCCTCTCTTAGATCTTCCACCCTCTTCTAGAACCCCTTGTCTCTCCCCTCCCCCATCACCTCAGGCCTTGCCACGTGCTGCGTCTGGCAGCTCCAAGCAAGACCTTTCACCATCCCTAATAAACCCTATATTCTAAGAGCAGCCTTCAGAGATCTCTCATCCCCATTCATCAAAACCATCCTGGAGCCCCAGTGATCCCTACATAATATGTATCAATATGTATCATAAAAATGTAATCATATAGCAGTAATACTGCTATAAGAACTTTTTTCTTTTAAATGCAAAAATGGTTGCAAAATGATGATACCCTTGTATGTAATGAGGGGAATAAGAGTCTGGCCATTGGACTGCCTAGTACAGCTTTTTTTTTTTTGCTTATATCCATAAATTACTAAGCTATTTGTGTGGGTTTCCTCTTGCATACCACATCATTCTGTATAACCCAAACTCTGTTGAGTTCTGAATTAAAACTATCATATAAAGTCTTCTAGAAACTGCTTTCATTTTGCACTGGAATTGAAATGACACAATTTGCATTTAGGACTACCTTTAGACCTATTACCCATCAGCAGGAAAAAAATGCTAGCAAACTTCTGGGTATGGACAGACTTGAGGGTTGTGGGAAAGATGCATCCAAAGGAATTTTTCACGCACGGACTGGTGTCTCATTATTCAGGGATTTGTTGACTGGG